TTTCGGAAAAGGCTTTATTTTCCGAAAGATCCCCCTCTAGACTGGTGCTTTTTTCCGGCAAAGCCCCGAGCAGGAAAAAAAGCGGCAGCCATGTTTATGCAAATGAAGCAGGGGGGATTTAAATCCCCACTTCATTTGCAATTACGATGTGTCTAATTTGCATCCCTTTTACGGAAAAGGGATGCAGTCTAGACACAGCCCAGGGGTCTCGCACTACTGGAGGATAGTGTTAGCCTCAGAGGCCCTCCACATGGCCTCTTTCTCTTTACTAAGAGGGAGGAGCCACAGCCTAACGAGCCCTATTAATCACAGGGTAGTTCATAAATTTGGAGTAAACTCCTGCTCTGGAGTCCTGATCAAAGTTCCCTCTAAGCTGTGTGGCTGCGCAGCTATGTTCTGCGCCCTGTGCAGAGGTTCAAAGCTCCCTGCACAGGCAGGGAGATCAGCTGATTGTTGGGGATGGAGCCTCTATAAATAGCAGTTAAATGCTCCTTGCCCAGTGCTTGAAGCAGAAACAATCAGCCAACCAAGATAAGCAGGGAATGAGTGGCTGGGAGGAAGGGAGGGAGGGAGTAATTGGCTTGTGGGAGGAGAGAGATGCAGAGAGAGAAAGAGCTGGGCACAGCAGAAACCCAGCATTCCCTTCAAGGGGTTGGGAAGGGGTAGGTAAAAGGGCTGACTGCATAGAATGGGAGGGAATGATTGAGTGCTGGCATTTGTGCAGTGAGGTGGAGGCAGGGGGCAGTTTGTTTGGGGTGTTTGACTCTTTGCCTTTCTGTTAGGCTGGATTGGAGGAGGTGGGGGGAAAACCTGGTATGTTGGGGTGTGTGTGTGTGTGTGTGTGTGTGTGTGTGTGTGTGTGTGTGTGCGCGCGCGCACGTGCGCATTACGAGGACATTTGTATGATTACATTTCAAACAGTTTGCATATAGGTGATAATGGCTTATGATAAGAAAAGATTTTTTTAAAAGTTTCAGAGGGGTAGTCGTGTTAGTCTGTAGCTGAAAAAATATTCAAAACCAGTCAATAGTGAATAGTAAAAAATAGTCCTAAGATGCTACAGGATTATTCATTGATTTTTTTCATTCTTTTAACAAATTTTTGTTGAGTGTTGTAGATATCTAAACTCTGAAGTTAATGATTTTTTAAAATCCTGTGTTACTAATTAATACATGGTAAACTGTGTTTCATTAAGGCCAGATCTTTGCTCTCTGGTAGAGTTGTGGCTTTCATGAGTCAGAAGTAGCAAGTGTGATGCTAGTAGTTTTGTAGGATGAAACCATATTGCAAGCTCTTTGAAACATGCAAATGCCTACAAACCCAGAAGCCATGTGTTAATTTGTTCTGGGGCTATTATTCTTCCTCCAGTGGAAGAAGCCTAATTCCTTACCTTTGTACAGCACCTTTGTAGTCACTAAGGGACTTCAGAGCAACTAGACACTGGGGTTTTGTTTTAATGTATTTTATTCCACACATATGGGCTGCTTAAAATGTGTGTGTGTGTATAAAAATGTGTGTTTTGTTTGTATTGTTGGTGCACATCACCACACTACCTCAATATTGGTAGTGCACGTAAGAAAATTCAACCTACCCAAGGATAGAAAATGTTCGAGGGAACACTGGTCCTGATCTCCCTTCTTGAGGCAGGGGGTTGAGATGTTGTGGGGAGTTTGGGGGGGGGGGGAAGGGAACCTCTCTGGTCCAGGGCTCTGGGCTCTGGTCCAGGGACCCTAAGGCAGTGGCATCAGGCAGGGTTACTGCCACTTGTGATCTAGCAGCTTTTCCTTAGGCCACTTCCTCAAACAATTCCTCCCAGTACCTTTCCTTTGGTACCTGCTCATCAGTCCTCCACTCACACCCACACAGCACTTCCTGTCCTTTGCTCTTTTCCTTCCCTCCTTTCTTCCCTCTTTCTTTTAAGGCGCTTTTAAAGCGGCACCACAAACCTTAATTAGCTGCAGGTGTTTAATTATCCTGCGGCTTCTAGCAAGTTCCAATTGACCCCAGGTGCCTGCTTGATTATGCTGCACTTGGGCTTTGGCCCTTTTTTTTTTTTTTTTTAAACTCAGGGAAGAGAAATCTGTTTACACCCAAGCTCTAGCATGTGTTCCCTCCACCAGTGAATGGCAGATGGCTTGTCTGGGTCTGTCACACAACATTATGAGAATTCAATTACTAGAGTAATCTATACACTTGTTTCACCTTTTCTATCTGGACTTCATGCTCTGGCTAGGAGAACACATTTATACGATAGGTACCATGTAATGTACTGCTCATTTGTGCATGAACAACTCATTAACACACTATCCACTACTGAGTAACTGCACCTAACCCGCACACAGTTCAGGCCATCTACAATCCTCAGTGCAAAGAAGGGAAGATGAATTCTCTTTTCATTGCCAACGCCACATCCAACTTCTGAGAGCCAAGATCCTCCTCACTTCCCCTGCTCCAAAATGTATACATGCCTTTGTGTGAAACTTCCACAATACTCTATCCAGCTGCCAAAACGTTCAGCTTTCCCCCAAAGTCTACATTAACTATTAATATAAAAATGTCTGTTGTTCTAAATATTTGTGGGCAGCACAAACATTTGTAGGTTAATAACAAACAAACTACATTGCAATGATTGCTTTGTCCATGTTCTAATTTAAACTATTACAATGCAACAGATTTTAATCTACCTGAACCTGTGGCAGAATTTCCAGTTTTCTGTATGATGATGTACAGAAACAGCATTCTTTTCCCTGTATCACTTACACTAGTTCTCAGCACTACATTAGCCATACTGGCAAACTGATTTTTTTGTCAATATAACTTTATTGACAAACAGAATTGCAGAATCAACACTCTACTTGACTTCTAATCTCTATTGATATATTACAATTTGTGACTATTGTAAATCATGTTAATTGTCAGTTAATTTGAGTTGACTAACATTTATGTTCCAGGACATAAATGTTTGTGGAGAAGTTTCAACTTTTTACCAGTAAGTTTTATTTTTTAAGATGGCTAAATAATCAATAGCTTTTATATACAGAAAGGGAGGAATTTTCATTACGATTTGGAAACTTGACATGAGTTTGTGATGTGTTATACTTCCAATCTTACCATTGGATTTTACAAAAATGACTCGTCTTAAAAAATGCAGACTCTAAACAAGTATACAATGGTAACAGATTAAAAAATATTTTTATGGGAAATACAGAATCAATGAACTTCAGGTTTATAGTACAATTTTTCAGATCATGAGGTACATTAGTTAAGCATAGGAAGAAAGTGAAAAAAGAAGGGGATTAGTATGTATGGTTAACAGATTATATTTTTATAATGGTTCTTCTCTAAGTACTGCATTATTCATCTACTATTGCTGGATCTCTCTGAAAGAAAATGATGAAGTGATGGTGGAATATAAAGCAGCCATTATTTGATTAGGAACTATACTACAGTGTGTCTTCACTTAGAGACTGTTTACATAAGATGATGTAAGCCTTATATTTGGTCACAAGTAAAAGTATACTCTATCAGACTTAAAAAAAAAACTGAAGATAATCTTCACTGAAGTTATTTGAATGCTCAGACTCAGGGAAGTTTGGCGGACTCAGAAGTAGAAGGCAAAAGTGAGCGTTGGGGCAAAGTAGAGACAAAAAAACTAGATTTTTGCTTTCCTTCAACAGGATGTATTCTGTAAGGCTCCTTTCTAATGCTCTCCTAGAAGCTCCATCAGTGTTTTCGTTGTTGAAGAAAGTATTTTAAAAGTGCATGGCAGGCAGCTCAGAGCCCAACACAGACAGAGTCCTTGCTGAGCAAAGTTTATGATCTTTATGATTCAGATATTAAGGTTTCCAAAAACCTGCCAGCATAGCTTTTTCTTTTTTCTCTCTTTACTTAAGGCTGCTTCTATGTTTCATCATAGCTCAGAGCAAGACGATTCTCTGAACAGGCAATGACTTGAATGCTAAAAGATTGAGAATCATTGATACTACATGTTGAACCTCTCTAGTCTGGCACACTCTGGTCTGGCAACATCCGTGGTCCGGCATGATTTTAGTTAGCTGGATGTTCACTTATCATGGGTGTGGCCAGATTTCTTGTGGTCCCATAAAGTTTGTTTACAGCCACCAGTCCTGGCTCTTGGTATTCTGTGCTGTTATTTAGCCCTAATTTACCCCTAAATGTCTTCTAAGAGTCCAGTAAACAGTGGAAGTGTTGGTAAAGTTGCTAGACAATATTTACCACCAGTAGTTTGGCAAATTCTTTGACTCAACACTGGTCAGGTCCCAAGAGTGCTGGACTAGAGAAGTTCAACCTGTACAGAGATCTTGGTTCTTCTGTTCCCATTGGAATGCAATTGTCTGCACATACTTATTTTCAGCAATAATTCAGCATTTATATATGTATATATAAATGGCATCCAAAGTTCCAGCATCCTGGTAAAAGTCCTATCAAAGGGACACATTAAAGCATCCAACTCGATACCTGTTGCAGGACTAGAGGATAGAGAGAGACGCAGCCCAGACTTTGATTTCTGATCACAAAAAGCAGCATTTAGCGACTCAATATTTTAATAAGAAAGTCTAAAAACTAAAAACCAACCATTTGCTAAATGTACGGAATCATGACATGAGTGATGTAGACTACAAAGTAGGAAATAAATAAAGTAGAAGGGAACACGCATATTAGACCTGAATGTTATCTTAGTCAATTGATTATGCTCAGAGTCTTCAGAACTGTTAAAATAGACTGAAAAAATGCAAACAAAATAGTAAATGTCAGCATCTTTTCCTCACATTGAAAGACAAGAAGAAAATCCCAAATCCCTCTTTTTCCATGAACAGCTTCAACTTAAAACCTCCTCGTGACAAGGAGAGTTATGATTTTAGTTCACTTTTTATCTGTCAAAAAAGCCTCGTTGAACAACTGTATGTTTCAACATCCTGTTTTAATGGTATTCCACCACCAGGGAAAAAAACCCCAGCCAGCTCACAAGTCTTTAATACCTTTATCAAGAGATGCTCCAGCCATGTGGTAAAAGCTCAAAGCCGTGTCCACATCATTTATATTCTTCAGAAAAGTAAAAAAGCTTTCCACCTCCTCAAACGTCAGCCCCTACAATAGAAGGAACACATTTTTGTATTGGTTCAAGTAAGGAGATAAACAATGAAATATTTTTGATAGAAAAATCCCCAATGAGGGCAAGGATGATATGTGTATCCAAACAGGAATTCATGCATGATTCTCCACAATCCATTTCATTATATCATTATATGGGGTTATATATAACTTAAAATCTACACCACATACATTTTTATTTCCCCCCTTAACTGAAATGTCTCTTTCTGCAATAATCCCCATTGTAGTCCATTGTCTCCTCATCATTAAGTTGATCCAAGCTGATGGGGGACAGCCTTAATACAGCTATTGTAAGTTTTCCTGTGTCTAGCCATTATTTGTTCAGCATCATGAGCCTCATTCTCATTTACACCACTCAGCTATTATAAGAGAGCCTTAATGTATGTAAGAATCAGGGTTGGTGTGTGGAAAAGTCAGCTGTGATAGATAAACGAGTCTTCCTATGGCACTGTAGAGATTTACAGTCAATCCCCGGGTTACATACAAGATAGGGACTGTAGGTTTGTACTTAAGTCGAATTTGTACTTAAGTTGGAACTGGCGTCCAGATTCAGCCGCTGCTGAAACTGACCAGCGGCTGACTACAGGAAGCCCGAGGCAGAGTTTCTCTGGAATAGGGGCTG